GAAGTTGTGGCAGTCCAGTGAAGTTCCCACCGACTGAAAAATTGAAACATAGCCCCCATCTTTAACGGCAGATGCTCCCAGGAACTATGCTAAGGCACACAGAAAAAAGGAGGTGATTAGTGACAGCCAACATGAATTCACTATGGGCAAATCGTGTCTGACAAATCCGGTGGCCACTTATGACAGGGTTACGGTGTTGGTGGAACTGACATCAGCAACTGATGTCATCTATCCATACTTGTCCAAAGCATTTTATACTGTCCTGCACTACATCCTTATCTCTAAATTGGAGAGGCATGGATTTGACAGATGGACCACTCGGTGGATAAGGAATTGGCTGGATGGTTGCACTCAAAGAACTGTGGTCAACGGTTCAATGTCCAAGTGAAGGCCAGTGACGAGTGGTGTTCCTCAGGGGTCAGTACTGGGGTCGGTGCTATTTAACATCTTTGTTGGCGACATGGACAGTGGGATTGAGTGCACCCTAAGCAAGTCTGTGGACAACACCAAGCTGTGTGATGTGATCAACACGCTGGAGGGAAGGGATGCCATCCAGAGGGACCTTGACAGGCTGGTGAGGTGAGAACCTCTTGAGTTCAGCAAGGTCAAGTACAATGTCCTGCACATGGGTCGGGGCAATTTCAAGCACAAGTACAGGCTGGGAGAAGAATGGATTGATAGCAGCCCTGAGGAAAAGGACTCGTGGGTGTTGGTTGATAAGAAACTCAACATGAGCCGGCAATGCACACTGGCAGCCCAGAAAGCCAACCGTATCCTGGGCTGCATCAAAAGGAGCGTGGTCAGCAGGTCGAGGGAAGTGTTTCTGCCCCTCTACTCTGCTCTCGTGAGACCCCACCTGGAATACTGTGTTCAGCTCTGGAGTCCCCAACACAAGAAGGACATGGAGCTACTGGAACGAGTCCAGAGGTGAGCCACAAAGATGATCCCAGGGCTGGAGCACCTCTGCTATGAAGACAGGCTGAGAGAGCTGGGTTGTTCAGCCTGGAGAAGAGAAGGCTCTGGGGAGACCTTCTAGCAGCCTTCCAGTACTTAAAGGGGGCCTACAAGAAAGCTGGAGAGGGACTTCTTCTAAGGGCATGTAGTGATAGGACAAGTGGTAACGGCTTTAAACTGAAAGAGGAGACGATTTAGATTCGATCTGAGGAAGCGATTCTTCACTCAGGGTGGTGAGGCACTGGAACAGGTTGCCCAGAGAAGCTGTGAATGCCCCATTGTTGCTCACCAGCGTAGGCTGCAGCTCCAAGGATGTCATTGCATCTTCCGCAGCCAGGAGGAAATGGCCCGCCTTTTGTAGGCAGGGCCTAAACCTTAATTAGGTAATTACCAATTCAAGCCAGCTGGGTGATAGCCATAATTCCCCCTTTTTGTTTTAGTTTTTTTGCTTTTCAGGAAGGCTTTACGGCGAGCAGACACCCAGTTCATTCATTCCGACTCCAGCACGCTTCCCTCTTTCAGGGTAGCGGCTTTACCTTGTTTATCGAAGGACTTCTCGGCCCGGCTCTGGCTCCGGCTCTTTTGGCTCTGGCTCAGGAGTCGGGGTCGAGGTCTTCAGGGTCTCTCGTGAGGGTATCATGTCGGGGTCACCAGATGTTGCTCACCAGCCTAGGCTGCGGCTCCAAGGATGTTGTTGCATCTCCCACAGCCAGGAGGAAATAACCCACCTTTTGTAGGCAGGGCCTAAACCTTAATTAGGTAATTACCGATTCAAGCCAGCTGGGTGATAGCCATACCCCATCCCCAGAAGTGTTCAGGGCCAGGTTGGATGAGGCTTTAAGCAACCTGATGTACTGGAAGGTGTTGCTGCCCATGGCAGGGGTGTTGGAACTAGATGATCTTTAAGGTTCCTTCCAACCTAAACCATTTTATAATTCTATGATTATTTAGAACAGTTACTTAAACATAACTCATGGTCACCAACAATTCTTGCTGACTACTGCAGAGGGCTAAAAAAGTGCTGCACAAGTATGGGTAAGATCTCTCCAAACTCTAATAAAGAATGCTACTAAACATACTTCTACATAGGCGAAGTCTCACTTTCCAAAATTTTTCTTCTTACACCTTGCATCAATGTTACAAACATGTACTGTTTCAGCCTTGAGAAAACACGATGTTGTGTCAGGAACATAAAACAGATCTTTTTTTTTCCCCCAAGTGAAAGCATATGTTGTTTACCACAGACTTACATTAAAGTTCCAGGCATTGGCTTTCAATCTAGCCGCTAAAACTGATTCATAACACTTTACTGACATTGAAAAGACCTAGGGCCTGTCTGAAACTCTAAGGAGACTGTTCACCCCTAAATTGAAAAGCTACTTTAAACTCTAATAACACCAAATCAGAGAGATTGCAGAAGCTGGAGCCATTGTTATCTAATTTTGAATGACTCATGTTTAAATGCAGTGATGGAAGTGGCACTCTCAGCCTTCATTTACAGTTAAGACTGTTAAGGCTCCTTCAGGGTGTGTGTAGTGAGTTGGTCAAGTGGATATGGTTTTGCTTCCTTTTGCAACAGTCACAAAGAGCTGCATAGAGCCTACCATAAAACACTGAAAGGGTAACAGCTAGAAAAAAAAAAAAAACCAAACCCAAACCAAACAAGCTATCCTGGTAACATTCAGTAAAGTTGGAAACTCAAACATATCCCTTGCTTTTTTCTATTATTTTGAAGGGTCCCTAGTGACAGAAGAGGTTTGGCTACCTCCAGTATAGCACTTTCTCAGAGTTCAAGAATGAAATCAGTGTAGTGGCATGTAATAAATAGTGACTGTCAATGCAAATCCAAAACACTTAAACGCTTTTCAAAAAACTATTTTTCAAGACACAGATTTAATAGAACATTTTAAAATGATGAATAAAGAAAAATGACAAGACGTTAAACACAACTCAAAGTCACCACAATGGATTTCCAAGTCTTTATTTTTCTGAGTTATTTCAGAATGTTTTAGGGCAACAGTGCTGGAAATACTTTAAACCTTTTTAAGTCAATAAATTAAGCAGATCTGAATGCTCTAATGCAGATGCAATGAAAAAAGTATTGTAATGGTTGAATAAAAAGCACATTCATCTGCAAACAGTTTCCTAGAGATAATTTCCTCAGGTTACATGATTCCACCCCTTTGTCCCTTCTACAGACTGGCTAATACATTATGAGACACTGATGAGCCACAAAACATTTCCTGAAAAGACAATATTTAAGTATGAAGCGTGTACTACTGGAAGTTGAGAGTTAAATTAAAACACCAGAAAGTGCTGGGAAGAGATAACAATGCTTTGCTGATCTTACGGGCTTTTTGTCTTCAGGGGTTTTTACAAGATCTCAGAACTATATCCAGAACACACTCTTGAAGCTTTATACACTGGGAAGGATTTGGAAAAGGTTCCCAAAAACATGCGCTGATTTAATGTACTACACCATGTGGCACCGATCCAAACCTTTGAGGAAACATGACTGATACATTTTTGTTACCTCAGTTTGGCAAAATTACGTCTTTCTTTATTTTATAATGCTATTGTGCCACAATAATAGCATGACAACCTCAACCATCTTCCTTCTGAGTAAAACCAGTCTTTTTCTTATACAACTATACCGAAATTATTGTCTACTATTTTGTCTTTTAACTTTATTTCTAACAAAGTATCCCAGTAAGTCATCACTACAGATTCCAAATTATTTTAGGTTTTAAGCAGAAGTTTTCCTTTTTTCCTTCAAGCTCAGCAGGTGGTTGGACTGTCACTGAGGTTAATTCCAATTAAAACAGATGATGAATTCATCTTGGTACTACAGTCCAATCTCACTGCAGACACCATCTGTAGTGTAAAACAGGATAAATACCAAAGCAAACCAAGAGACAAATTACCTTGCCTGTCACATGCTGCTGTAGCACCCAGTGTAGAGATGTAAAAAAACCCTCTTCACAATTATGTATCCCTTGTTAGAAAGCACAACCTCTGAGTATTACTATGAGTACTTGACTCACTTGCTGTGCAAAGAGGCATATGCAGCTATCACTCCAACGTTCCCACAAGTTATTCAGAAGCATAAAGTTATGCTGTTAAGAGTAAATAAAAATAAAGCCAAAACAGACTGCTCTACTTCATTTGTACTCAAGTTAATTCAAGCATTTTTACACTCAACTACAGTCATTAGTGTATCAGATGTCCATCTTTGCTTTCAATTTCAGATTCCAAGATTCATTCATTCATTTATATTTAAAATCTTGCTATCTGTCTCCTACAAAAATGAAATACTTGGTGATAATTTAGTGCTCTTGCAGATTTTTCACCCACTCTTTAGTGAGATTTGACTCTGCACTCTCAAACACAGGACAGAACTACTGTATCTCTTTCACAGTCCTTCCTGCACACTGGCCTCTACTTCCCTCTTCCAACCATATCAGACCTTCTGTACCATCTTCAGCAGCCTCTGCTAAACTCCTTGTTCTCTTGTATTAAGGACCCTTTTCGTATACAGATTGAACTCTCTTGAATCTCAGTTCCATGGGCTTCAAAGCACCCTCTCTTACAGTCACGACAAACTGGGATGAGCAGAGCCTTGCCTATGTTGAGGGGATACCAGGTGCAATCAAATATGCATGTTCCATCACAGGAAGAGAAATACTGAAGAAGAGCACATGCTACACCACTTAATACAGAGCTATCCCGCCCTTCTCTATCAGGTTACAGTTCTTGAGTTCAGAAAGCTTCCCTGCTTCCCCAGGCAGAGAAGTGGGAGAGCTCACTGAGGCAAGACACAATTCGTATGTCAATTTCTTCACTGTCCTGGAAACTCAAGTGGTACCATTTTGGTATGTTTCTTATGTATGTTTCTTAAACGCTCTGCAAACATACCAGTGTATTAAGAATGCAAAAATCCCTGTCTTCCAGATATTCCACAATTACGCAGCTAATATTATAAAAAAGACACAAGATCATTTACGGTCTAATTGAAAATATTTCACAGATGCATACACTTAACTGACCTTGGAGGGATTGAATGGCATCCCTAAATAAGAAGAGCCTCTGAATCCACAGCGATTCAAGTTTGATTCTGGAAAAGATAAAAAAATAAAGACTCAACTAAATTGCTTTGCTGAAACACTTATTACAAACCATAATTCTCTACTCAAGATCAAGACCCATTAGTTTGACACTATTCACAGTATTACTAGTCTGCATGTCTTTCAGTGTGTTTCCAACCTCGGTTTGTTATTATCACTCTTATTAATAATAAAAAAATAACAAAGAAAACCACGAGCAAACTTGATGCTGCTGTAATGACAAAGCACCAGATGTTTTTTATTTGGTGGAAATATAGTGTTTATATCAGCACAGAATTGTCTTCCTGCTCACTAAAAAAAAAAAAGGATTGCTCCCCTGGAAAAGTGCCCAGAGTTAACAGATTTTTTTCCTCTCTGGATTCCTGCTTGGTAATACCGTCTGTTCCCAAGCAGAGTTTTTTTTAAGATGCTTTGCAACATGTAGAAGGACAAACAAACTGTTTGCAGTTTTAAGCTAGCATCGTTCTAACTCAATACTGTCAGAGTGAAATGGTTAAAATGATGTAAAAGGCAAATTTTTAATTGGAGCCATTCTTCTCTCACTCAAAACACACGAACAAGAACATTGTATCTATCAAACATTTCTGTTAGTGATTCAGGATTACTTATTTGAAATGTGTGACGGTACCCGAGCACACAGTATACAGAAGCGTGCACCACACACTGTCTAGAGCTAGGTACAGGTTTGCATGTCTGAAATCTGCTTTTGCATGGCAAAAACTCAATTACTTTACTCCTCAGCCTCTGAAAGTGTAATGAGTGCCACAGTTCAAGAGCACTTGGGTGTTCTTAAATTCTCTCCTTTTTGAGTTTTTTTACAGCTCTTCAGCCTTTAATCTAAAAATCCTCATGGAGATTAGGGAAAATTGCACCAGACAAACAAGAATAGTTATAAAGCTGAAAGTCCTAAAAAAAGATCACTGTGCACTGTGGTCTACCAGTTCTGGTGTAATTTCTCAGCACATTAGCTTCTAATTTTACATACATTCTGCAAACATGCAACATTTAAACTAGAAGTTTTTATTAGTCTAAGTACTTCAACGTGGTTAAAGTACACAAGTTTCTCCACCAGACAAGTCTTTGGATCTAGTTCAGATGAAGTAAACTATTATTTAAGAGAAATAATAAAAAAAAACAACCACCTGCAATTCTCCACTTCCTCTACCTTTCAATCAAAAGTATTTTTTAATGATTCTACAGGTGTAATGAAGGTCATTTCAGCCTGCTCTAAAAACTGGTAGGCTATAGGCACACTGTCCTGGTTTTGAGTGGGACAATTAGTTCTTCGTTTTAGCAGCTACAAGAGCTCCATGTTTTGGTTTTAGTCTGGGATTTGTTGTGAGAAAAATGTTGACAGCGCTCTGATGTTTACAGTTGGCACTGAGACATCAAGGGCTTTTCAGCTGCCGTGTTTTTACCAGTGTGCAGCAGCACAACAGGATAGGGGGGAGCCTGGCTGGGACAAAGGGTCCACAACTAACTCCCCTTGTGATCTGAACTTAGATTTAGGATTGAGGGCCAAACTGGCCAATGAAGTATTCCATATTGTGCAACATCATGCCCAGTATGTAGATGAGGGTTGACCAGGAAGAAACTCTCTTGCTCTTCTGGGGACTCTCTCTCTCTGACTGCTCTCTCTCTTGTTTTTTGGGCCTCTTGCTCCTCTGAGATTGCTGGACTTACCTGTTTCAGAATTGCCTCCCAGGACGGAACAGGCATTGGCCACTGGGTGGTAAGCAACTATGCTGTGCATCACCTGTTTCTATATATTATTATATGTATAATGCATGAATGGTATGGAATACTACATTGGCCAATTTAGGCCTCAAATCATATGGGGAGTTGAGGGCCCTCTGTCCCGGTCATGCTCCCCCCTATCCCGTTGTGCTTCTGCACACTGGCAAAAAACCATGAGAAACTGAAAAGCCCTTCATGTCTCAGTGCCAACTATAAACATCAGTGCGCTGTCAACACTTTCCTCTAACGAATCCCAGACTCAAACCAAAACTCTTCTAGCTGCTAAAAGGAGAAACTAATTCTGTCCCAGTCAAAACCAGGACACATACCCACAATGAGAAAACAAAGAGTATCTGTATTTGTAGATAAAATAAAATGGATAACTTGCATTTCGTTATAATTTAAATCTTCTCAGCAGAGAACGTTTGTCTGTTAGATCTTGGAGTCAAAGATTTGTATTTCATCTTGCAACAGGTTCTGGAAAGCACAATAAATATTAGTCTTAAGAACTAATCTAAGGTCCTGAAGGACACTGCTCAAAAGGCATCATGATTTTAAAAATGACACAATGTGAGTGAATCAGTAAGAGGAGAACTAGAATTCCTACTTCTTAAATACCAGTTTCCCATGTGACATTGTGGAAAAATCACCATTCGGTTGGCCCATTTTCAGTAAAAATGAATCTGTGTCTTAAGTGCTTAAGTAAACTACAAAAATCACTTCGAAATGGCACTAACGTGGAAACTCTTCATCCAGAAAACAGTTGCTAGCCTACTGGTACACAGCTGTTCCGGCCTGCTGCAAATGAAAACATTAGGACAGCTCTGCAGTCAAACAGAACTCAGTTGCTACACGGAAAGATTAATCCCAGAAAGACTGATTCCCATCATCAGCCTTTTAGACTGTAGCTTATAATTCATTTTCAAGGCAGAAAAGGCAGTGTGAAACCCAAGTGCAGTGTGCTGTTTGTGGGTTACTGATTAGCTTTTGACTTGACAACTACTATGAAAAAGACAGATTAAAAATAAAGTACATAATGAAATCAAGATCTATTATTCCCTTTAGCTGTTCAATTTTTGTGTAACAGTTTAAAATTCTTCTTGTACTAAAAACCTCTACCAATTAAAAAACAGTACTGGTAATTTTAAAATGCTGGATTTTTAACTGTATCATTGATTTAAAATTTATTTTCACTTATTACGTCAGTGACTTCTGATCTCCAATCCTAGACTCCATACACTGGCTCCTAGGAGAAAGAGAAGAGTATGGCTCTTCAGTGCCCTCAGTACTCCATAATCTTTAAAAGGAATTTTATCCCCTCCTCCAAACAAAACCTCTGTCATTAATGTGCAGTAACAGATGCTTCCTAGACCTTCAGTGTTACAACCGAATTGCTAAATTTCTAGTTACAATTCTTGAATTAAAAAATAGAATGCTGAGCTGATAAAGGAAGTGTTGAAACAGGAAGTGAAAACAGCACATTTCTAACCAGATGACTCCAGTATATCGACACCATGTCTCGATTTTTTTTTTTTTTTAGCTTCCTGTGAACATAAAAGTTCAAAACCAAATGGGGACCAAAGGGGATTTAGGGAAAACACACTGTCTTTCAGTTTATGCATATCACCTTCTATGAAGTTGGTTTTACTATTTTAATGCAAAGTGCTTAACACTTATGTAATAGCTTAGTAGTGCTAATCAAACTCTTGCCTGCTTTCCTGAACCACAAACAGCCTGTCAGAATCAGAAATAGAATTAGAAATTAAACATACCCTAATTAAAAGGATATGATCATAGTTTATGTCCCTTGTAAAATATTGCTGAAGCGACTAGCTCAGCTCCAGTACAGTTGGCTGCAGCACCAAGTATAGCTACAGTTATAAAATGGTACCATCTAGTGTTCACTTTCAGAGTTAACCATATTTAACCACTTTCTGCCAGAGATTAAGACAGACTAAACAGTAATAAATGTTTTATCAATCGCTGCGAAACTATTGAAAGTGGAGCAAAAAACACCTGGAAAAACTTTTCACATATGACAACAGAACTAAAGACAATTTTCCCACTTTCTCAAACCAAGACTCCAGGCTTAAATCAAGACCTGAGACTTTCCAGTAAAGAAAATCATGTTACTTATGCATGTGTAGGCCAGAAAGTCCTTAAGACATTTAAAAGAGCTTCAAGTGATGATCACAGACAGCTTATCCTGGGAGCTCGTTTGTTAGAGACAGGACGTTATTTCTCTTCTATGATTTGTCTTGCATGGGAAGATGAGTGACTTCTACCACTACTTCTTCCCACGCAGCATACCTATCACTCCTCTGGCTCCAAGGCTTTTCTCATTTTGCTAATCATAGAAGCAAGCTTACATACATTATTAAAATTTTAATATTAAAAAAACCCCCACAGCTTTAACATAGGTTGACACAGTCAGTACATCCAGAAAAAATGTTAAGCAATTCTTACCGAGAGGGCTAAAAAAATAATTATTCTTATAAATCAAAGCATTAGAATATGTCATAAAATGCAAAGCTGCGTTCTCTAAAATGGAAGTTCATTATACATCCAGATAAATACTTCAAATGTAGCCATTAAAGAAAGTTACGTTGGAGGAAAACACGAAACTCATGATCGGAAAGCTCAAGTGTAACAATGATCTCAAAAATCATCAATGACATTTTACCATTTTTTTTTCAGTACTGACACACAAGTAAAGAATAAAGAAGCATTATTACAAATCTAAATTTAGACTCTGACGGAAGAAAAGTTTTAGGTCCCTGATGGAGCGTAATGGTTTTCAGCTTGCTACCTCATGGATCCTGAGGGTTCAGACCCACAAATGAAATATGTCTCAGCTGTCCTTTTGGTGCCATCTCTTAGTACAGCAAAGCCAGTGAAGCGGCCAGATGTCAAAAAGCACGATCTTCTTGCCTCTCCCTTACTGGGCTTGCACTAGCACTCCCAGCCAACACAGATCACCAACATAACACAAAGCCAACCTTCTGTTAGATAAATGCATGCATGCTTTTTTGCCACCTCAACAAGCAAAACCAGCTCTCAAGCAAGGTCAAACAAGTGTCAGTGTTACTACTGGGGAGGATGGTGGATGAGTATGGCTAAGGAGTGTGCCTCTGCTGTCTGTCTGTAATTAGATTACTTCAGTACAGAGCTCTGGATTCACCCTCTTTCACAAGTGCTGAACTGTTTTTAAATGTGACTTGCAAGAAACTGGAATACATCTTTCTCACATTGCTAACAGCTGCACTTTAAGATAGCTAAAATAAATTTGAAATTCTGTCTCGGAGCTGCTTTATGAGAGGAAAAACAGTAAAGCTCTGACATAAGAATCTTCCAGAATGAGCAGTTGAAACAGGGTCTTTTGTCAGTCTTTTCCAATTTCACTAGCACTTCACAAAGCATGTCTTCGTCTAAATGTATGTAATTTCTGATAAGACTTGTAGAAGCACCACCCTCCTCAAAATGAAAAAAGAAGGTTTTTTTCAAGATTTTGACTTATTTCTAGAAGGAAACATAGTGAGGTCTTTCTGCAGTGAACACACAAAAAACTCACACGCATTAGCCATGCACCTAAGCAGAGCATTTACTAAAACCGAAGGAAAAGTAACAATGGCCAAAATCTACGGAATATAAAGCCAAACTATTCTGCAAGAGTTATTGAAGACAGAGGCCTTTCAAATAAGCAGAAGACAGCAATTAGACCAAGCAGTCAGCTAAGGATGGCAGGTTTTTGCACAAGGGTCAGCTCACATGTGTGACAGGCCATTCCCTCCTAATCAAAATTGGTTTTGAGTCAGTCTCCAGAACACTTGAGCTGAAATTATTGTACCTGAAGGACCATATTTGTTTGAATAAAGGATTATTTGTTTGAATCACAATTATAATAAACCCAGAGAAGAATACAGTCTATCCTGACAGACCTTAATTGTTGGCTTCCTTTAGAGCATTTCAATTAGGCTCAGAGTATGTATTTGCTTTCTTACTCAGCGAGACCAAGCTCTCACCACTTTGCATTCACGAGCTTTAGTTTCACATAAAAATTTCAAAGGCTACAAACCTCTGAACTGAAGCTTTCATTAGCCATCAGACATATCACACACCAGTAAATACAAACATGTTACCTCAAACTATCACAATATATTGTGAGACTCTATCTAAGAAGTATTCTAAACTACCAAATTCTGAATTTTCCACCAGGTTCTGTAATGCCCTGCTGTAGTGGGTTGACCCTGACCAGCAGCTAAGCACCCACACAGCCAGCCAGTTATGTTCCCCATCCTGTGGGAGGGTGAGAAAACAGAAAGAAGGGCAGAAGACTCACAGACTGAGACAGAGACAGTTTGATAGGCGAAGCAAAAGCTGCGGACACAAGCAAAGCAATGGAGGAATTCATTCACTGCTTCCCATCGGCCAGGGAGGTGTGCAGCCACTTCCCCAAAAGCAGGGCCTCAGCATGTGTAAGAGCTACCCAGGACGACAAACGCCAGAACCACAAACATCACCCCTTTTCTCCTCCTTTCCCTGAGCTTTTACTGCTGAACATGGGTGTCAGTTAGCATGGAACATCCCTCGAGTCAGTCAGGGTCAGGTGTCCTGGCTGTGTCCCTGGCTGCATCTGCTGGGGGAGAAGGGATGCACAGGGGGGAAAAGAGACAGCCTTGGTGCTGCGCAGGCACTGCTCAGCAACAGCTGAAACACTGGTGTGCTACCAATGCTGTTTTAGTCATAAACCCAAAACACAGCTGCATACAGGCCACAATGGAAAAAAAATAATTCTATACCAGCCAGTATACCTACTATAATAGCTATTGATAAAATTAAACAGATGGTAAGTTTGCAGAGCATCACCAGTTATGTCTTTCATCCACTGTAAAAATGACTGTAAGGCAGCAGCAGCTCTTGAAATAATTTGAATTTGCCCTCTTAAAAAGCTGTTTTAAATAAAAATCAAACAAAATGCTGTGGATACGGAAGCTTTGGAGGGACAAACATGAACAGCAGAGAAACTTATTTTTCCAATAAAAATTACAGGAATTCTCTTTTAGATCATTTTAGGAACTCAACCAGTGATGCGATCAAAAACAAGGAACGAATATTCCATAAAAACACATTCTGATTTACAATGTAAGTTTTAAATTGGTTTTCAGTCCCAGAGCCAAAAGTAATGAAGACTTATACCAAGAACAATACAGTTACCTGAGGCAAGATTACTGGAATTCACCATTCCAGAAACTACACAATAAAAAAGGGGTATAATATAAACATCTGAAAATCAATTTTCCCTGCAAAGAGGGATTTATCAGCATACATGTCAAAAAAGCTGCAATAGAACATTTCTTTAAAAGCAAAGATTTGAATGCATCAAGCTAGCAACCATTCTCTTTAACTAGAGATGCGCAAACATTTTGAACCCAAAAGTTTCACTGCTTCAGCCTATTAGAGTTTAGCTACTTCTTCCAACAGGCCAAAAGAGGGAGTTAGAGCTCTCCTGCTAGGAGGCTGCCAATTAACAAATATTGCACACATCCAGGATTAAAAACCAGAAAGTCAACATATTTTATCGCAAGTAGACATTACAGGAAGGTACGCATTCCCTTCTGATCATTTAGTCATCCAGTATCCAACTTACTGCTGTTGGTATCATTTACATTTTGCATCATCTGTTCTCCATGAAATGAAGTAAAAACAGAATAAAAATAATGCTGAAGCTTTAGGGGTTACGTGACCAGATAAAGTAGTGTTATTACCAAAAGCAAGAGAGTTTAGGAAGAACAGAGTTCTTACGAGTGATACAAAAATATAGGATCGGAGAGAAGTTTGTTCTTCTGGTAAAAAGGAGAGACTCATTACTTAAAAGCACAGAACACACTGTCAAAAGCACCCTCTGCAAAACTAAATTCCTGTAATCTTATTATGGCATGACAGCTAGAAAAAGAAGATCTCAGCTGTGCCCTGGACTGTTGGCTTCCACATCTGCATGCTGAGATTTATACTGCCCTCCCTAGGAGGCTCTTGACAGTGGGACTACTCCAAACATTGGCTAGGCAGAAAAAAATCTTACTGAGAATTACTGCATACTATCAGAGACAAACAAAAAATGCCAACTTTAATCCCTCTTCTTGCAAACTTCACTGTTCTTTCAGAATACATTCCTAAAGATTGGGATAAAGATCAAGTGAGCAACAAAAAACCAAAGTATGTACACCCTGGAAATTTTTTTTTAATGCTAAGGGACAGGAACCTTCTCATCATTAAAAATGTTGTGGAAATAATTATATGATCCCAACTCCTAATTTTCTATAATCAGTCGTGGAATACAACACAAGAAAAACCAAATCTATCAGAGCTAATGCCTGGGGTGAATCTGATGGCTTTTAAGTTGCCAGAATAAGAAAAGAGATCTTTTTATTACTGTAAAAATCAAGCATCAGCAATCTTGACTTTCATATGCTTACTGCATAAAACTGCTTTTATTTCATAAAACTGCTTTTAGGGAAGAGATCTAATTTGTAGTATATAATTACACTAGATATAATCAGGAAATGCACAATTTTTCTTCTACAACTATTCAACATACAAAGTACCTGTGCATGATTTTACAGACAGGTACCTGGCATTACCTCTTCTCTAGAGACCATCCTGGAGCTATCCCCAGCCCAGCACATCACATGCCAGCACCTCCTGTCACAGGGCATCAGTGCCTCCCCCACACCTCCCTCCCTTCCACTCCTTTTACTGCTATTAGCCACTCACCTGCACTGCCGCAGAAAAAACTGCCAATACCACCTAGCCCACAGAAACAGCACCTCCCTGGCTTTTGTCACCCAGAAAGGGACCCTTTCGTGTGCTGCCTCCCCGCCTTGGCTCTGCTATGCACCTTTCAATCTGAGGACAGCTGGGATGCAACAGCATTATTTCTTCTAAAAACCTTAGGTAAATTTAACCTTCACAGACCTAACAAATAGACGTTTCATTTTTAAGCAGGAAATGTGCTCATTCTTTTTGCTTCTTAACCTTACACCTGCCATTTTCCAAAAGCTGTTTCAAATAACCACACCTGTGCTCAGAGATCCTGGCATAGCTACAATTAGTGGAAGTCAATATAATCACTATTAGACTTGTAATACTTATATAACATATGCATTTCTTTTGGAACCAGGTGAAACACTCCTCTGAGATGCTTAAAGAATTAAATGCTTAAAGATGCTTCATTACTATTCGATAATGTCTTATCTTCAAATTAATTTAATAGCTTCATGTCGAATACATAAAAAAGCCAAACTAATACCTTTTTCTAGCTTTATTACTTTGGAGGGATCTATTTCTAGGATTTGCTCAACACTGCTATCTGAAATTATCAGGACAGCACTTCAGGAAAGTCAACCTTGCATTTCATAAAAACCAAGAGCCATCCACTATTCCCCAGGTGAAAAACAAAAGTAAAGATGTTAATATCAATAAAAAAAACTAAAAACTCACTCACTGTCTTCTGTGGGAAGGACCTGCAGGGAATAAATCCATTCTATTATATCATCTTTGTTCACCACATCTAAGGAATCCAACATATCCAGACCAGAGAGTGCGAAAAACGCAATTGTCAACCTAAAAGAAAAAGATAAGACTTACACTTCCCACCATAAATATCATGGGGAAATTAACAAACGGTTGCAAAAACAGAAATATCCATGAATTCTCAGCCTTTGATTGTGGTGCAACACATAGAGCCTAGCTCAGAAAACATGGAATCCATCTACTGGACAAAATTATGCTCTTTGTACTGTAAACATTTCTCTGTCTCAACAAGGCTTTTCATATAAGCCACCCCTCCTTTTATGTAGTAATGATATGCCAACTCAGACGTTAACCTAAGGGCCTGCTTACCTGAAAAAGCACTACAAAGTAAACTTGGTTATTAACATACAGAACACTAGTTCTCTGTGATGAATCTCCTAAATATGCAGTAAGTGCAAAGCAACCCTGAACTGCAGTAAGCTCACTCTCAGGGTGTCCCAAACCCAGTTTCAGACACTTAGAAGTTGTGTCAAACAGCAAGGCTTCCTTTGTAAGCAATCAATGTACAAATAGGCACACAGGATGAATTACCATCTAGAGATACTTATTTCTTGACCTGTGGTATAAAGGAGCCTAGATGACTAGGTTAGTCTAAGATTGAAATCTAAGTACCCAATACAGGAGTGCAGTAGCTAGCATGTTGAATGTCTGTCTGTCTTGCTCACAGCCCATTTCCTTCTGAAAACGTGTCTACCATACTCGTTAACCAACACCGTCTTCACGCATTTTGTTTTTACCTCAAACCCCTGCAGTCACCTAGCTTACAGCATGGAGCCTGAAACAGCTGCATTATTTGCTCTGACAAAGCACCAAAGTAACAGCACTGGGTTAGGAACTTAAGACAGCTTGCTAGGAGAAAAGATGTTCATGTAATGGTACCTTGGAAGTTCTGACTCAGATTAAAATTAGCTGGATGTATACTCTGCCACCCACACTTGCATCTGCCTATCTTCCTTCTAGAAATTCCTGCTCTTCTCTCACCAGATAAGACGATGGATTGTGAAGCAGCTGCTACACAGGCAGAAACTGGTTTAGCATGCTAAGGAAAACCAAAAGTTAATGCCAGCTTTCCTTAGGCGGTTATAATTTGCAGTTACTTCACAAGCTGGCTATCAGTAATAGGTACCTCTGAAGATGAGGAGATAGATGTGGACAGAAGCCTCTACAGCCACTTAATTTCTGCATGTGGTTATGCATTAGAACCGCAAACAGTAAGACCAAAGAAAAAATGGTGATATGTCAGGCCAAAACACACCTCCAAAAGAATTATTCTCATTAAAACACAGCAGCCAAATGATGATGCAGCAGGCACCGATCTCAATAAAAAGGCACAACCTCAAAGGGTGACATTCCTATCACTGGGCTGACCAGCTGCTATAGTCATCCTGTGGCCATTCAGAAGCAGAATTTAAGTCAACAACTTCTGCTCCAAAACTGTTCTCATCTAGGATTACATAGCACAAGCAGTGGCTACAACTCAGTTGAATAATGGTGACTTGCTAAGCTGAGGTTACTTGATTATACACTATCTTTTAATTTAACCCTCAGCTTTTGCATTGCTTTTCATACCACTCCTATAATCCGCTTGGATATTGATCATGAACATTTCTTCTTCAAAAAACCCCTCCATGTAACTCTAAGGTGCTCGCAAAAAAAACCCACTCAAAATCAAAACAAAACCAAACATGGAATAGCATACAGCTTCATTATGGCACATATTCAGGACAGAAAGCAAGTGTAAACTTACCCTGTAATCCCTGGATTTTAAAAATATGTCTCTTACTATTATTATTATTACAAATAAAGTTTTTGAGCATAGAGAGCTAAAAAAAGTATGCTGCATGCAAAGGAACTTGAGTGAGACAAGAGTATCTTTTAAGCCATCTTTTTAAGCCATTTGATGACTAAAAAATAGTCTTTCAAAGTGCAAAATTAACAATTCAAGGCTTATATCAATTTTTGCCATTGATCGGATCTGTGTAACCCAAAATCTGACTGTGGGTAATAAGCCATTATTTCAAGCAAAACCACTACTTTTATTGAAAAACAAGGAATTTACTATTCAGTTACAGTAAACTATTTCTTTGAAACCTTGCATATATTTTCTGATTCTCACCAACACTAAGCTTGCCCATCTTTTACTGAAACTACATAGTAAAGACATTATGACACTATGTTACCCAGCTAAGCTACTTCCAATGTGGGACAAAGGACAGGCCAACTCCAGCACTAGAAACTGCTGCAAACTAGGTCCAAAACCACAAGCCTGCGCATGCAAGACAAGTAATAAATCTCGTCTATACTTAAAAATATGTAGATCAGATAAACCAAAGTATAAAAGTGGTTTTACATATAGTTAAGTTTCAGTTTACTGATTTAGAGCTGATTCTCTGTTAATAGTGCCAGCATGACGAAGGAACAGCCGTACAATGTGTTAGAATTCACATGTGATGGGCAAGAACATCTGGCACCACATCAGGATGGTCACTTAGATACTGCATTCTTACTCTATATTCTATCCTGCCTCACAGAAGATTAACAAACTAAGACTAAGACTAACGTTCTAAGACTAACCAAGACATCTCTTAGCAGCACCTTAGCTGACACATAATACGAAGCATGAAAACGTAACATACAATGATTTCCACTGAGGGTAGTCTTTTGTAAGACAAGGCCCAAAACTGGCAGCACTTTGCTGTATCTTTTCTTTATGCCTTCTACCACTTCGGTTACCGCATGTGTATGAATTTAGGAAGACAGGCATCAACAAAGCCTGACAGCTGAAACTCATTAAGTGAGCTACTGAAAGCTTACAAAACAGGAATCATTCATTTTAAGCTCCCTTCCAAGACAAGCAAAGACTTTTCTGATGACAGATTCAGATTCTTCATCTTCAGACATGGACAAAGACCACAGATTCTCTGCAGAATTCAGGAAGCATTTCTGAAGTGATTGATCTGAGAAACTGAATAAACATGCTACAAAGAGCACCATGAAGTACCACAATACAAAAGACTTCAGAGTTGCATTCTCTTGCAAAACTTCACAGTACTGACTGACCATGTGTGAAACACTATCAACTCTATTACTTAAAAAACTCCTGTTGCTGAAGCCGCATGCCATAACTAAAGATAAAGCTATGTAAAGAAAATCAAAGTTCTTTATTGCTGTACCTACTCCCTTAGTGTTTGACAAACTATGGTTTAAGTCAGAATGGACGAGCAATGTGTGAAAAATTTCATTCTCTACTACCCTGCCTGGTGACAACAAATGCAGTTGTTTCAGATGCAGTACAGTAAACCAAAACCAACTCACTAATTTTTTTTGGACAAATCTTTTAAACTTATTTGAGTTTCTCCATCTAACTCACCATGGAACCACACAAATGCAGGAAAAAGGGAGGTAAGAATAAAACCGTAGCAGCACTACCCTTCTGCAGCAGTCCTAGCTCTGGAGGCTTGCTGAACTCAGTGACACTGCACTTGTCAAAAAGGCAAACTTCGTATCCTCAAGGTCAAACAGGGGAAGATGCACTTACGGCTCGATCCCCTGCCTAGAGTTAGTTAATAGACATGTATGTACATCTGCAGAACACTGACCTAAAGATCAGCATAAATTTTTTCACAGAACTGAAAAACCTCTGGCTGAGTAAAAACTTCACGACTTCAAAAAAAATGCATGAATTTAGACAACCAGGATTTTTGTTCTAATTAAGCCTTTAGACTGTGCTCATTAGCCAAAAACTAAGGCATTTCAAAATAGTTTCAAACTGACAGTTCCAATTTTCAGAAAACAGTGTTTTTTCAGTGTTGCACAGCCATTATGTGCAACACAGTAGGCACTGGTTATCTAATGCATTGTGGCTACTATGAGCACACATTAAATACAAGTTCAGATAGCTCATTAATTTTTCAAGAGTTCTCAATACAATCAGGGTTATTACTAGCATTATTCAGTAACATTGGGGAAGACCCTACATAAACTACAGCCTCTGTTGCAGCTCAGGGGCAAATTGCAACAGCGTGGCACTGTAAATCACAGAACAGAAATGTCTAGGTTGCCAAGGGCCCCTGGAGATCACCAGTCCTGCCTTCTGTGGAACACTGGACCTTTGGATGACCCAGGATCTTGACGAGCCAGGTCTTTAAGGGAGACTCTGGCACTTCACTGGGCAACCTATTCATGGTTAACTGCTCTAACAGCGAGGAACACCTTTCCTACATTCAGACAATTTTCCCTGAAGCAACTCATTCCAATAGCCTCCTGCCCTGTCACTCTGCTCCTTGTGAAGAGCACACCTCCATGTTTTTCAGTAACTACTTTCTTTTTAATGGAAGACCACGATCAGATCCTCCCTCCTCGAGGCTGAACAAGCCTCATTTCTTTAGCCATTCTCCATGCGTCACTGTGGCTAAGGTTAGCCCTTTACATTATGACTCTAATATATCTGCAAGCTATTCTACCTTTAAAGCCCAGAAAGAGTTAAGGCTGTAGCATGCCTAGACTTCCTCTTGCTGTCATTTAAAATAACTGACAAAGTACAGTGCAACATTGGCTAATTCCTAATGAATAAATGATCTATACCTCTGTGATGGGTTGGTGTAAAGGGGTTCTGGTGGCAGGAGAGGGGATTTGCTCCCTGTGACCCTCTGAAATCAGAATTTCTAACTTTCCTTTTTAAAGTTATGTGTTATTCCACACACAGTTTGCCACTATCCTTATTAGTCCTTACGTGTTCTTGCCAAGCGTCTGTACTCTCAAGCGAAATAAAGCTTCATTTAGCAAGAAGACTTGACCAAAGCCACTAAGCACTCTTCACAGCATGACGTGCAGAAGATTATAAAGTGAAAAGCATCTTTTGATTTCACTGGTTGAATAAGATACTGAACCCTCTACATGTCTCCAAGTTTCACCAAGTGCAGCTTGACAATCAGATTACTGATCCTCTTGTGCCTCAGATGTAACTGACTAACTTACGTGAGGACTTCAAGAATCTCAAATAAATATATTCTGAAGTCATTACAGG